TTTCACTTGAGTGCATGTTTGTATGTGGTAAATGAGGTACAGAAAGTAAACATATCTTCGGCTTGTCATTTGGTGAATGCTCGTAAATGATGACATTTCTGGCCCTGAATGTGTCAATCATTTGACGACAAAAGCTCAGCACAGATTCATCCGGATCCGGTCTTCATGTCACAATCCACCAGCCACTAGTCCAAGACAATATTCCCTTGGTATCCTGGTCGGCCAATTTCCCAATTCTGTCCATTGGTCGTTTTAAACAAAAGCAAAAGTAGTCCAGCCTTACTTCTTGCCATTCCGCAACCGTGTGATTTCACAATGTGAATAAAAGTTGACTTTCGAGGCATTGCTTTATGCAACCCACTGTTGAGTAGCCGTTGCGCAGCAATCTTGTCAATGCTGTTTCCGAGGCATTCTACTTCGATTCTCGTGAACCTCTGTTGAGCCTTTATCGGTCTTTGCCAGACAAACATCATCAGATTGGATGGTATCATTCTTGCAATCATATTCACTCAATGTATATACAGCATTTAGAGAAACTCCTATGAGTTTTCTTGATTCTTTAGCCTCGACATGATTGTCAAAATGATACATCCTGCTCTAAAATGTCTTTTTGATAATGATGTCGAAGGTTTAGAATGTTTTCACCGAAGACAGCGTCAACAAGGATGCTCCAGAAGAGACCAATCGACGAGTCCATCATCGTCTTCTGGTGGCATCTCGCCCGATTCTCTTCACCAGACACTTCCCCTCGAAGTGGAAGTCGGCTCAAAAGTGATTCCACTATCCCATCCTGATTCACGTTGCTAATGCTGACAACATTTACAATCATTTTTTGCAGTTGGATCGTCAAGCAAAAAATGTGAAATCGCGTCAAGGATAGCCAACGGGAGTCGTGAGATGTCGGTCCGAGAGAGCTGTCGAGGTAGCTTGTAGACATTTTTAGTTGTCAGAGCGACAAGCGTCCTACTGTTGGGGTCAATTTGAGCCAAGCACTTGCAGCTGAAAGTGGTTCTTCGCGGAAAGTGAATGTTGGCTTCACGTTGGTGTGGGGGGATTAGGCCAATCATGGACCGGGCAGTGGAGGTTTGCAGAATAACTTCACCAATCCCATCTCGTTTACGATGATGAAGGATTGGCAATTGCATTTCCCAAAGTGATCCTTGCCCAAAAGGCATTCTCATCCCTGCTCAAGTTGACTGCAGTACTGACCTCGGCCCGTCAGCGGTACTCGGACCAGGTCACTGCAGCGAATAATGGTGAAATTTGAGCCCAACCCACAAACGAACAATTATCGCTG